TTTTATTGACTTGGGCCTTCTGCCTTTTGGTTAAATTGGAAAAGGGTTTGTCAGTCTTGCTTATCTTTTCAGAGAAACAACTCTTTGTTTCATTGATTCTTTGTATTATATTTGTTTCTCCGTTTCTAGTTCATTAATTTCTATTTTGATATTAATTTTTTGAGACAAGGTCTCACTGTGTGAACTTCTAGAACTTCCTATGTAAAGGTGGCCTGGAACTTATGTAGAGCAGGCTGGCATCAAAGTCACAGAAACCTGCCTTCCTTTGTGCTATGATTATAAGGATGTACCACTACATCTAGCCCTGGTCTATTTCTCCCTGTCTAGTGTTTTCAGGTTTGGTTTGTTCTTGCTTTTTCCAAGACTTTAGGTGTATCATTTGGTTATTTATTTGAAATCTTTCAAGTGGGAATGAACCTGTGTGAATAGATAATGGTACTCCTAGAAACAGTGGGTTACTAAGAAATTTTCCAATATCAGGTATGGGATGCCTTCACAGAAGGTCATCAAGGAAGCCCCAGATGTCCCCAAAGCAAAACAAGTTGTTGGTACTTTTAGTTATTCACAAAAAGCTACTGAATGGTCATTAAAGGATATGAACTTTTTGCTAAAGATACTGCATACCTAATTGCAAGATACAAAACAGGCTGAAATTGAGCTGGAAATATTCTTCTTGCTGGCTCATCTCGCAGTCCCAGAATGTGTTACTCTACACACTGCTGGGAGAGAAAAAGTATCATTGGTCTTATCCATCTGTGTACTCTATGAAACAGAAAATACAACCTGCCTACCTGTGCAATAGTGGCACGGTTGTGGGGATGAGATTTGAGGCCTGTTCTAAAGAGGGGAAACTCATAACTAGTACAATAAGCCAACTTAACAATCTATGCTTAGGGAGGTAGTAGCCCAACTGAGGTAACAAAAGTGATACATTATCAAACTGGATAATATGGAAGCTTATACCCATTGACAAAGGTTGCTCTCAGATGTAATAAGAAAAACCTCCTCTTACAGTAATCAGAAATGAATGCAAAGACTAGATCCATAAGATTCTGAGAATGGGTGATGGTTGAAGGCTCAGTCCTAAACAGGCATTTACGCTCCTCCCTCTAAGGTTCCGAGAACACTTTCAGAGAGTGGTATAGGAAGTATGCAAAAGCCAGAAGAAAAGGCGAAAGCCTGTGAAATGTGATCTTCTGAACTCAATATAACTGTCACAGTCATGAACTTGGCAACTGCAGTTACCCTCACTGGCCCACACACAAGACAGGCTATGTTAAAAAAGAAAGGATTCATGCACCTTATTGTCTTATTATTGGCTATTGACAGTTTCTAGGAACAGGGGAATAATTGGCTCTAGTTATGTATCCACTGTTGAGCCCACCAGGTTCCAACAGATAATTCCAAATCCACACTCACTTTACAGCCCTGGTTAAACACAGTGGATCACAAATTAAAACAAAAAGACACCAATGTGAGTGAGAAAGAGTTGTAGAAAAGAAGGTGTGTATGTATAAAGGAGTAGTAGTGAGATGGAAGAGGGTTGAGATTGAGAGTGGTTGGTATGTATTATATATTTGCTTTAAATTGTCACACAGCAGACTGAATTTAAAAATTTTAAAACCCATAGAAATATGTAAGTAGCCACCCACCTTAATAAGAAATTTGTGTTATAATTCCTGTCAATCTTTGGTATTTATAAGAAGGTGAATGAAAAGTGTGTTTGTGTGCACGCGAACGCGTGTGTGCAGATATTTGTTTTGTTACGGGTTTCTTATTTTTGAGAATGTCATAGTATATACAATGAAATATGATTATATCTGCCTTAACTTCCCCGTCTAGTCCCTCCAATATTCCCCTAACACACCCCTCCCAACTTCATGCCTTTTTTATGTAATGAACCATTAAGTCTAGTTAGTGCTGCCCATAAGGGCAGAGGTGAAGACAATCACTGAAGCATTGGGGAGCCTACCAGAAGCCACATCTTCAAAAGTAAATAAATAGATACAGTCTCTCTCCCCAGCAATATTTAATCAAATCTGAAATACCATCAGTTATTCTATTTTTAGTCAATACCCTAGTAGAGAAAGAAAATTACTTATTTTCTTCCACATCAATACTGGAGAATTGGCTTTAATAAAATCAATAACTTTAATTTCGTTTAAAAAAGTTAAAGTAAAAATGTCAAATGTCAAGAAAAGGTACAAGCCAAACTGCAATCTGTCCTTCCTGAAGTTTTACTGTTCCCTAAACTGTCAACTAAATATAATAAATACATGTTTATATGTTGACACTGTTAAATTACCCTTTCCATTTTCATAACAGACGAACCCAAATTATATCTTTTATCAGTGTCTGCTGAGTTTCAAGTTGTGAATGAAATCACAAGCAACCTCAGAGTATGCTTCTATGTCTTTTAAATTATTTTTTTTGAATTTTATTTTTTTCTTATCAGTTACATTTTATTAACTCTGTATCCCAGCCGTATCCCGCTTCCTCAAATTTGGCTCAACTCACCGTTGTTAATTTCTTGCATGTCATTAAGGAGAAGTCTTTAATATGCTTTACTTATGACTTGTGCTCAGGTCTTGAAGGATTCATAAACACACTTTGTTTTAACATTATTAAATAAGCTTAATGCATTAGTGGATTTAATTTGATCTGTATTCAGATTTTTAAAAATATATTTGAGATTATAATTATATCATTTCTACTTTCCCTCTAAGTACTCAAATGTACTTTCCTATTCTTTTTCAAATTCATAGCCTCTTTTTTGCTTTAACTATTGTTGTTTTGTGTGTATGTGTGTCTTCCTTTTTTTTTAAAGGTGGTTTGTTGTCTCCTTGCTTTTTCTCTACTTTCTCTCTAGCTATCTTAATTTAAGTCTCATAAAAGAGTAGCAGGAGAAGCCTATGCTTTCTTCCTTACCTTTGTTCAAGCAGGAAAAGGTTTTTAAAATTGACTGGATTGACCACAAACAATCCCAGAGTCAGAACTCAGAAATTTTCCAAAATTATGCAGTGATTTGAATTACACTACATATAAATGTATAGACAGAGAGAGAGAGAGAGAGAGAGAAAGAGAGAGAGAGAGATCATGGGGGCTTTTGTGTGGACAAAAACCTAATTGTGTTAAATATTTCCTGAAATTGTATGCTATTGTCAGACCAAATAATCACAAGTAAGACATCCAGGTTAAAAATGAAAGCATTTGTGGGAACCCTGCCTCAATTCATTGTGTCACAGAAGATCTTTGACTGGTTTTCAGTGATTGTAGGAAAGGTTTTATTTCTGTAGACGTCTGATTTGAAAGTTAACATTATTAACCCTTCTTTCCCTTCCAGGTTAGCTTTGCTGATTATGGAAAGATTTGAAGTTGGGTGTAATTAATGGTCATAATGATAGCATTTCATATGCTATCACATATTTATGTATAGGTTAGAATAAATTTATTTGACTATTCTTTAATTAAAAAGGGAAGAAGAAACTGTATTACAAGTCAAAGGAGCACTATATAAATGTTTTTCTTTCTGTATGCACCATGAGCACAAATACAATGTCCTATAAAAGCCAATGAAAGTTTCCTTTTTGTTTAAAAATTCTACCAGTAGGAAGTGAAAAAAAAATGTATGCATTCACAATGCTCCTGTATTTAATGGTTAAATCATAGTTGAAGTGCCAATTTGATTCAAGAAATCTGTCTTTGGGGTATCTTGAATTCTAATATTTATTTGCAAACTGTTCATCTCAAAGATCTCTCTCTCACACACACTCTCACCGTGTGTGTGTGTGTGTGTGTGTGTGTGTCTGTCTGTCTGTCTGTCTCCTGGACCCAAATATTGGCATTTTGATTTCACTCTGTATATCAAACTGTGTGGCAAGAATTGAGTCACTGATGAAGATTGCAGGGTGAAGTAGGTAAGCAAATCACTAGACCAGTGCAGTGACTTTTACTGTAAGGCAGTTCATTTCTTATAGCAGTTTAACATGGTTTTGATTTGAAGTTTTAGAACGATGGAGAATTTGGGGTCAGACTAGAACGATTGCTGGAAACCAAATCATGTAGTGATTTTTTCTTCTAAAGTCCCTGCTCAGGACTGTTGTTCAGATTTTGTTGAAGATAATTTTTCCTTATTTTATGTAGTTATTGCTTATATATTTTGTATTTTAGTTCTTGATTGTGTGTGTGTGTGTGTGTGTGTGTGTGTGTGTGTATAAAACTTTTTCTCTGGGATTATAAGTGAGTATAAATTATAAGTGAGTATAAACCTGAGTATAAATCTCAGGTTTTCCTTTAAAAACACTACAACAATGAATGAGAAACATTTTTTCATTAGTCACAGCAAAAAAAAAAAAAAAAAATGGGGAGCTTACAGTTCAGAGTTTATGACATGGCAATGAGTGATGGAGAAAAACCCAGTAGGATGTGGTGATAATGGTTAGGTTTGTGGGTAAGGTAAAGGGAGGTGTTAATAATTTAACTTTCTGCTTCAAAAAGAGTTTGTCTTATATACATGAAATAGCAATTGATGAAAAAAAGAGGCTATGGGTTTGAAGGAAAGCAGGGAGCAATATATGGAAGGGTTTGGAGGGAGGAAAAGGAAGGAAGAAATGTTGTAATAAAAATGAAGTCTCAAACAAAATAGAGTGTGTCTCTGTACACTACCACTTCTATGAACTTCAAATGTTGATAATTATATAGAATTACTAGTTATTGTTGGCCCTGAATATAAGGATGCTATTTAGATTTTTAATTATATTGAATTGAAAACCTAAGTTTTACCTTCCTTATCTTAAAATGATGAATTACCTTTGAATAAGACAACAAAACATTCAAAATTACATTACTTAAATTTTATTGTGAAGCTATATTTGAAGATTAAAATAAGATATAGATCACTGGTTATATAGTTTGGCTCTGATAAATAAGAAAACAGTCAGATGTTGATAAAAAAGAGAAACTTAAAATCAGTGAATTAAAATTTACTTTTTGTTTTTTAGGGGTCCCTTCAGTGTTGTACGGCGATGTATCAACAGAGAAACTGGGCAACAATTTGCTGTAAAAATTGTTGATGTAGCCAAGTTCACATCAAGTCCAGGGTTAAGTACAGAAGGTAAGAGATGGATTTCAAGTAAGTTATTTGATGTCTGGCTTTATTCCATCTCCAAAATCCATTTATCAACCTATCCTCATCTGGGGTTGGGGAAGCAGAGGATGTGATGTAGAAGGGAAGTGGGTGGAGACAGTCTGAACTCCAGTTGAAACAGTTACTGAAACACCTAAAAGATATCATTTGAAATATGGAAGCATTAATAGTCATCTCGGATCTTTATGAACTTATGGTTTGGTTTGTTTTTAACTAGAAAGAGAGTGAAATACAGATGTATATTTTCTAGGGTTTAATTTGAGTCCTGTTGTATTAGATGTAGGATGGGAAGGAAGGGAAATAATTGCAAGGATGAACCAGCCAGGGTCTTGAGGATTACTATCTATTATAACTAGAAGACTGACATTTTGATTCACATTTGGCTTAATCACATAGTGTATTTGTGAAAGTTGAAAGCTCAGTAGTATTAGAATTTGTAGGACTGAGAATTTTGTTTTAAGATATTTTAGCTGAATGTGGTGGTGCACACCGATAGTCCCAACACTTGGGGAGGCGGAGGCGGAGGCGGAGGCGGGCAGATCTCTGTGAGTTTGAGGCTAGCCTGGTACACAAAGTGAATCCAGGACAGCCAGGGCTACACAGAGAAACCCTGTCTTGAAACCATGCCCCCCAAAAGATTTTCTTAAGTATATGTGCATGTAAATTACTTATTTTTAAAATATGTGCCATGACTCACATTAAAGGTAACAAAACTGTTTATTATATTGATTTTCTAATTAGTCTATCTACTATCTTTAGACATTTCCACAGCCTAGTAACATATGTATCCATCTTTAGTTTTTGGTTTTGTAATCGTAAAGGCAATGCAGTTTTAGAGCTTAGATTAGAAACTTCTAAGAGAACTATTGGTGTTTTATCTGGTTATCTTGTTTTGAAAAGTAAAATTTTTCACACTGTGAGCTCCAACTTAATCTATTCCTATAGAATTTTATTTAGGATGATTACTTCTGAATACTTTGTGGCTCTTTAAATTATTGTTATCAATATAATGTTTTAGAAAATTTTTTCAGTAAAGAATAAGACTTTATTTATTTATTTATTTATTTATTTATTTATTTATTTGATTTACAGCCTGATCCTAGCTCTCTTCCTCCTCTCCTACTTCCTACTCTTACATCCCCTTCCCCTATTCCATTTTCTCCTTCTCAGAGAAGGGGAGGCACTCAAGGGGTACCAACACACCCTGTCACCTCAAGTCACAGCAGGACTGAGCACATCCTCTCCCACTGAGGCCAGACAGGGCAGCCCAGCTGGGGGAAAGGGATCCAAAGGCAGGCAACAGAGTCAGAGACAACCCCTATTCTCGTTGTTAGGGAACCCACATTGTGACCAGGCTGCACATCCGCTACATGTGTTTAGGAGGCCTAGGTCCAGCTCATGTATGCTTTTTGGTGATTTAGTCTCTGTGAGCCCCCATTGGCCCAAATTATTTGACACTGTAGATCTTCTTGTAGAGTCCTTGACATCTCTGGCTCCCTCTATCTTTCCTCCCACTCTTTCAGAAGACTCCCGGAGCTCAGGCTATGGTTTGGCTTGGGGTCTGTGCATCTCTTTCGATCAGCTGCTGGGTGAAGCCTCTCAGAAGACTGAGTTATGCTAGACTTCTGTCTGCAAGCATAGCAGAGTATCATTGATAGTGTCAGGAGTTAGACTAGCACCATTTGTTGAAGATGCTGTTTTTTTTTTTTCCATTGTATGGTTTTGGCACCTTTGTCAAAAATTAGGTGTCCATAGGTGTGTGGGTTTATTTCTGGGTCTTCTATTCAATTCCATTGATCCACCAGTTTGTTCCTATACCAGTACCATGCAGTTTTAATTACTATTGTTCTATAGTACAGCTTGAGTTCAGGGATGGAGATACCTCCAGAAGATCTTTTATTGCAGAGGATTGTTTTAGCTATTCTGGGTTTCTTGTTACTCCATATGAAGTTGAGAATTTTTCTTTCAAGGTCTGTAAAGAATTGTGTTGGTAATTTGATGGGACTTGAATTGAATCTGTAGATTACTTTTGGAAAGATGGCCATTTTTACTATGTTAATGCTCCCAAGCCATGAGCATAGGGGATCTTTCCATCTTCTGATATCTTCTTCTATTTCTTTCTGCAGAGACTTGAAGTTTTTCCATACAAGTCTTTGACTTGTTTGGTTAGAGTTACACCAAGGTACTTTATGTCATTTGTGGCTATTGTGAAGGGTGTTTTTTCCCTCATTTGCAGGCAAATGGTGGGAGCTGGAAAAGATCATCTAAGCTGGGGTATCCTAGAAGCAGAAAGACATATACTAACTTTTAAGTGGATATTAGCCATATAATACAGGAAAAACATACTACAATCTGTACACCTAAAGAAGCTAAGCCAGAAGCAGGACCCTGGGTAAGATGCTTAATACTCACTCAGAAAGACAAACAGGATAGACATCAGAAGAGGGAGAAAACAGGGAATAGGACAGGTGCCTACCACAGAAGGCCTCTGAAAGACTCTACCCAGCAGGGTATTAAAGCAGATGCTGAGACTCATAGCCAAACTTTGGGCAGAGTGCAGAGAAGCTTATGAAAGAAGGGGGAAATAGAAAGAACTGGAAGGTACAGGAGTTCCACAAGGAGAGGAACAGAACTAAAAAATCTGGGCCCAGGGCTGTTTTCTAAGACTGATACTCCAACGAAGGACCATTCTTGGAGATAACATAGAACTCCTGCACAGATGTAGCCAATGGCAGCTCAGTGTCCAGTTGAGTTCCCTAGCAATGTGAACAGGGTCTGTCCCTGACATGAACTCAGTGGCTGGCTCTTTGAGCACCTCCTGCTGAGGCGGGGGGAGGGGGACGGTCAGCCTTACCAGTCCACAGAGGAAAACAAAGCACCTAGTCCTGATGAGACCTGATAGGCCAGGATCAGAGGGAAGGGGAGGAACACCTCCCCTATCAGTGGACATGAAAGGAGAAGGAGGAGGAAGGGCCAATTGGGAGGGGACTAGGGAGGGGGCTACAGCTGGGATATAAAGTGAATAAATTGTAATAAATAAAAAATTTTAAATATTGTAAAAAAAAGTAGTGTCAGGAGTGGGCTCTCTCCCATAGGGTGCCAGTCATTGGTTTGCTATTCCTTCAATCTCTGTTCTATCTTCATTCTTACACTTCTTGTAGGCAAGACAGATTTGGGGTTGAAGGTTTTATCAGTGGGTTGCTGTTTTCTTCCCTCCACTGGAAGTCCCACCTTGATACAGGAGGTAGTGACCTCAGCCTCCATATCTCTCCTCCCTCTCCCTCCCCCCCCCCAGCGTTGAATCTTAGCTAAGGTCACTCTTAGAGACTCCCAGTAGCCTTTTACTATCCCAGAGATGCCCCTTCCACAATGATCTCCATTCTCTCTCCTGGTCCTCTGTCCAGTTCTTACCCCCATAACCCTCCTCACCCCTTCTCCCACACAGTTCCCTTCCTCGGTCTACTTTAGATATCTAATTTATTTCCTCTTCTGAGTGAGATTCAAGTATCTTCCCTTGGGTCATTCTTGGCTTAAAAATTATTCATTAGAAGCTAAGAAATGGCTCAGTGATTAAGAGCTGCTCTTCTAGGGGATTTGGGTTTGTATCCTACCAACCACATGAGGGCTCACAAGTTACATATATATGTAACTTAAGGCCCAAGGGATCTGATGCCCTCTTCTGGCCTCCATCAACATTTGGTTCACAGACATGCAGGCAGGCAGCCCCTAATACAAGTAAAATAAAAATAGATAAATCTGAAAATAAATAAATCTTTTAACAAACTGGGGTTTTTTGTTTTATTTATTTTTTATTGTTTTAGTTACCACTAGGAATGAATACCTTACTGATTTGGTTTTAATATTTTAATCTTTATTGGATGCCTGCAAGGGGACTTCAGGGTCAAAGGGTATCAATACACTTAGATTAAATAAATATGACACACTATTAGGAGAAAATATTATAGAAAAGTTTAGATATTTGATAGCTCACAATTTCATTGTCAGAATTGACCATTACCTGCTTTTAAATATATATTATTTTATATGTTTAGAAAAATAAAAAAAATTGCCTTTTAGTAGACTTTACGGTTTTGAACTATATTGTGTTTGGTTGTCTTGTTTGCTTTATAGTGCTGGGGATCAAACCCAGGGCCTACGGCAAGCTAGGCAAGTACTGTTTATCTTAATTTTAATTACCTTTGAGTTTTCTAAGCCTTGGCAGTCTATAAGAGAGACAGCACTTAGATAATTTGGTACAAAGTACAAACCTGATTATTAAACAAGTAGATGTCTAGTTAAACTTTGAAAAAAGTTCTGATATTCTTTATAAACTTAGTAAGGTTCCAATTTAAAATTATAAATGTTAAATCAATTATTCAATTACCTACATTAAATTAGAGCAACAGAAGTTAAATCCTCTTACATAATATTACAAATAATTAAGATTACTTCTTAGCTTACTTACTTCTTAGCCCCAAATTATTAATATCAAAGATTTGAGTTGTCTTATCATTATACCTAATTCTGTGGTTTTATTTTTTTTTCAGCCTAAAAGCATTTTTAAAGGTGACAGCTACTTTCTCATTTGACTATGATGGATTATTGACAGATTTGTTTAGTCAGAGCTCTGGAACTGTAGACACAGAATAGGATAGTGAATCTCTGTTACTACTTAGTTAGAGCAGGTCATAATTTTATTTTTATTCCTAGAATTTAGGAGGCAGGGGCAGAGATAGGCTGATATCTGTGAGTTCAAGGCCATCCTGGTATACATAAAGAGTTCCAGGCCAGCCAAGACTGTACTGAGACCCTGTCTCAAAAAAATTAACAAACCAATCAAAAAAAGAAAAAAAAAAAAAAAACACCAAAGGATTAAACACCAAACTTTAAAAAAGGAAGACGGATATTACATGTAATTTATATGCCTGCTTCTAGGTCCTGTTTCTACTTAATATGATATATAGGCA